CAGGCTGTGGCCTGTTCCATGTCCACCTCACCGGCCCGCCCAACCACTGGCGGTTGGGCCTTCAACCTCTCTATCCCCACCCTCTGGAACTCCATCCCACATTCCCTTCACCTCGTTCCCTCCCTTGCGACTTTCAAGGCACAGTTCAAGACCCTCTTCTTCGATCGTGCCTTCAGCCACCCGCCTACCCTCATGACCCTCCACCCTCCCTGATCAGGTCCAAATCTCTGGCTGTCCAGCTCCTTGGGATGTCCTCTCGACGTGAAATGCACTATACAAATATAATTTGTATTTATATTTCTAAATTGAAAACAATAAAAACAATTAAAATCCACTGACGGAAATTTATTTACCTTGATTTTGAGAAAATTAGAAAACACGACGAATACTTATTTTATAACACAATACAAATTTACATTTATATTGCGTCTTTCACATTGGGAGGATGTCTCATGGTGCTTTTAACCAATTACAATTTCAAACCTGGACTGGAAGGGTCTGGGTTTGAATCCCATCAGTCAATCCTTCAGCATTTTGAGATTGATAAAATTAATACCTTATATAAAAAGAACTACTTTGTGGGGGTGTTCGGAGAGTAACTAATGTCTAGCTGATCTTAACTAGTGGAAGGAAAACATTTCAAGGCTACTGTAATTCAAGGCAAATTTTGAGGTGAAGTGGAACCTCATTTGTGAAGTCCTTGTGAAGAGAATCAATAGACTAATCTATTATTCCTTGTAATGAGCTTCACTGTTTGTGGAGTTTGGGATTTAAATCACCATCAGTTATAAATGAAAAGAAACAGCTTTGAAAATATGGTCACACCAACAACAATTTTACATTTATATAGCACCTTTCACATTGGGAGGATGTCCCAAAGTGCTTCACAGAGCCGGCTGGAGCTTAAGTTAGGGCTGAGGGGAACTGTGGAAAGAGGAGGGGAAAGATCACCAAAAACACAGTTAAAAAGAAAATTCTTCAGGCAGTCTTTAAGTGGGGGCCGCGGGGTGGGGGAAGGTGAAATTCTAGAGAGCAGACACCGAATGGTTGAGAGTTAACCCACCACTGGTGGGGCGGGGGATGTGAAGCAGGCCGGTGTTCGCTGAATGGTGAACAGTCACATTGGTGAGTTGCCCTCAGTACTGAGATGTTTCCAAAGTGCAGCTCCACTAAAACTTGGGAATAAACAATCTCATCATCCCACTTCTTCCAAAGCAAAACTCCAACGCACAAAAGCAATTGAAAATGAAATGAGCATTGTACCATGCGTATGTATTGAAGAAGTTAAACAGTGCTTCACAACAGTGGGTAAAATAGTCCCTTGGAGCACAAAATAAAAATAAGTCAAGTGGTTGTTAACAGATGACAAAGAAGAAAATTGCTCATTGCCTAACCTATGAAAAAATGACCTGTAGCTGTAGCATTGGGTGTGTGTACATGTATCAAAAAACATCATTTGCTCCACTGGACTAGCTGATGCCTTGACAGTTTTTGTATTGATCTGCTCTTGTAGGTTGGGTGTATGTAGTCGGGTTGCTGGATAAATAGGAAGCTGTCCGAGGCAGGGGCATCAGCTGTCAGTTAAGAAAGAATCAAAATGTGAAACAGTGAAGAGCTGAATGACCCAGGATGATCTGCCACCTTTTTAAAACAAACTGTAACATAGAACTCTTGCTCCCTGGTCTTGCCTCTTTTTATTTGACCTTGTCATGTGGAGGGGTGAGGGGGGAGGGTGTTGGAAGAGGCATGACATTAATGATTCTTTCCTTGTCAATAAATTTGCCGAACTCAAGAGATTTGCATTTAAAATGGATTCTAAATTCACATCACCAAGGTTGTGACATTTATCGACCAGCGAGGAGAAATTCCTCTTTGGCCAAGAGTTACTCTATTGATGTAATAATTCAGAGTGAATTTGGCAACATCTAAAAAATACAATCTTAATTTTGAAGCTGTTTTCTGTAAATTCCTTTAAAAACAAAGAGAAACCAGCAACAACCAGAAACCAGGGGCATTTGTATAGCGCCCCTCATGCAAGGTAGCATTCCAGATCACTCCAACTTCAAAGTTAAGACTGAATTCATCAATTCTGGAAACTTTAAATGCTACTTAATAATATAATAATAATCATCCTTGCATTTGATAAAGCACTTTTCACATCTAGACGTCTCAAAGCACTTCACAGAATAGACTGTAAAGTGAATTGACTGTATATTTGTGGGCGAAGTGCCACAACCAATTGCACACAGCAATGTTCCACAAACAGTCATGGTTTGAAATGACCAATTTATTATTGTGTTTTTCTTGAGGGATTATTATCAGGCGTGTGGAGTAAGGAAACTTGCCCAAGATTTCACCCCGCCGGGAATCAAACCCAGGTCTCTCACTTGCAAAGCGAGTGCTCTAATCACTGAGCTACACGACTCTACATTCTCTCTGTCTCACACATAGACAAACATACACAGACATACACACAGACAAACACAGACACACACAGACATTCATACACAGAAACACACATACACAAAGACACACACATAGACACACACATGCACTGAGCCAGGCTGACACACACACACACACACACACACAGACACACATACAGGCAGCATAATAAATAAATTAAGTATAAGTAGAATAAATGAAGCGTCAGGTGGAATTTCTCTGCATGAAGGCGAATAAGATGTGCTCGCCTGTCAAGGTTGGTAAATATATCTTTCAGAGAAGAATCGTTTTAATAATAATAATGCTTGCATTTAATATAGCGCCTCATCATGACGTGGAGAGGTCCCAAAGCACTTCACAGAATATACTGTAAAGTGAGTTAACTGCATATTTTGTGGGCGAAACGCAATAATAATTATCCTTGCATTTAGTATAGCATCTTTCATGTCAGGAGGACGTCTCAAAGCATTTCACAGGATTTTAGTATGAAGTGGAGTGATTGTGTGGTTGTTGCTGTGTACTTATAAGTGAATGTGACAGCCCATTTGCACACAGCAATGTTCCACAAACAGCTATGAAACAAAAGATCATTTTTATTTGGGGGATTGGACACTGGGAGAAACTCCCTGCTCTTTTTGGGTAGTGCCGTAGGATCTTTAACATGCACCTGGATAGACAAAGAAGACATTTAACGTCTCAGTTGAAGGACATATCTAATACTATAATAGGACATAGATTGAAGATCATCACCAGAGGAGTAGAAAAAAACATAGATCGGAAGATTTGTTAGAATGTGGAATACCTTACTACAAATGCATGTTGAAGCTAAGTTAACATAGCATTCAAAGCAGCATAAAAGAAAAATATTATTAAATGGTATGGGGAAAGAGCATGGAATGGCATTAGACAAGGTAGCACCAATGGGGGCAACTAGCACTAGCGCAATTACAATGGGCCAAATGACCTCCATCATTAATGTATACGTTCCGCGATTCTTCATAAAATCATCTACAAAATACAGACACTACAGTCTACACAAAATCCCGTGAAAAGCTTTGAGATGATTCAACAATGATGTGATGAACCACTATATCAATTTCAAGAATTATTATTATTATATCCAATGACAGAAAACCCACAATTGCTGGATCTTGTAGTGTTGAGTAAGAAACTGCTTTTGGAAATGAAAAAAATCAACTTTACTTCCATTGTTCTACTTTTTTATACTGTATTTGTAGGGCAATAAATAAATCACTCGTTCAAAATGCCAATCAAATCTAAGTGCATCTTATGATGCCACAGTAAGTATTATAAAGCAGGGTGTGATAGTTTTGACAGTTTGTTACAACTTCTACATAATGATTGTGNTTTTTTTAATCAATAATATGTTGCCACTCAAGTGAAATGAGACAAGTTTACTGTGTTTCCATGCAAAAATAGAAACATTTGTAGCATTTGTAATGAACTGTCATATATTATGAATATAAAATTGGACGTGCATCAACAGAATTAGAATTCCAAAGCAGAAAGCCAACTTGTAGCTCTTCTCAATAGATAGTTATTGGCGTGTGACTGTATCTTACATTACAACATTCTACGCATAGGTTTCCTGCAATCTGCTCTGGAAGTCAAACATCCTAGTGGGAGTTTTCTTTCACCAAATTTGGCCTGTGATATGACATTTATATTATGCAATGTTTACTCATTGTGAACCAAAAGGAATTTTCAGAAGAGTATAATCTGAAGCCAATGCTCCTCAAGGCAGACCGGCTGTACTATAAAGATTTTTCCAGCCAGGGAGAGCTCTCAGTGGAAGGGTTAGATGGAGATACTGGACTCTACCTGAACGGACAAATGCATGGGCAAAAGCTGAGAGGTCTGATAGTTGACACCCTGAGAAGCATTCAGATGAGGACTACAGGGTGAGCATCATCATTTGTTGTTATCTGGCTCTGGGATCTATGAGGATTTGTTTGGGATCCCGGTTCAGAAGGTGGTGAAAGCTTGTGTGAAAGCTTGTGTGCTTGATGTGCTTAGGCTGTTAGTTACAAGCATTGATGTTACGTGCGTTCACCTGGGCATTTTCTTTTACAAATTTGTTGAAAGAAAAAAACACTAGGAATAACTGTCTTACAAAAAAAAGATTGGGACATGTGGGACATTGCTCTGCGCAATTGGCTGCCACATTTCACCCACAAAATTCACTTGAGACAAGTTCACAGTATCTTTGCCAAGGTCTCTTACATGAGGACCTAGATTAAGCAGTTCAAGTTGAGGATGGTGAGAATGCTCTGAAGCATTTCACACTAAGATGTTCCAAGCATCTTGCAAGAAATTCCTGGTACCTGCTATCTGCCTAGTGAGGACTCAACCCTGCGCTTGTCAGTTGTCTGATGACAAACTAGTGATGATCCTTCTTCGGTGAGGGGTAAGTGGGATCTCCTTGGGGCTGAGTTGGCTCTAAGGTAATTAAAACAAGCACTTCCCAAAGAATACACTGCTGAGATTGCCTTTAAAAGCTGAAATAGAAATCTGACAACGAGATAGATATGTACCTGAAACTGGCACGAACATGTCAAGTCATCACCGACTTCCGTACACACACCAGCATATCTACACGTAGTTTCATCACACATCTTGAAATCATTTTCTCGTTCATTAAATTCTGCAAAACATATTTCAATGTATATTAGACAAGGTAACATTATTTGTAATAAATTGCAGGTTTCATCAAAATGCAGAAAAATCCAAATTGTGACATACGTACACACACAAAGTATTTCTCTGAACGCATTATTTCTTCATAGCTCTGTAAAGGAGCTCGAGCGAAAGACAAAAGTGCATCTTTTCAATGAAAAGGACCTAAAGCAATTGAGATCATATGCAACAATTCATCAGATTTATCTGTTGAGTTACAGAAGTATCCCACTGACCTGCAGTTCCGTGCTTGGCATTAAATTACATAAAACAAACGTTACATCACCAAAACAGGCTATTCAGCCAGTTAACCCATGCCTTGTTTATGCACCACATGAACTTCAGCTCCTCCTAATCCCCTCTAATATCCCTCTATTCTCTTTTGTATGCATTATAATTCCTCTTAAACATGTTGACATTTTCTGGTTCTAATACAGCTTCTGGATTTGAGGACCACCCTCTGCATAAAGGAGTTCCTTCTGAACTGCCTTTTGGATCCGTGACTGGCTATCTTATATTTACATCTGGCTTCTGGCACATCTGTTGTGAGTATTTTAGGGTGAGGGTGTAGTTCTGCTTTTTCAATGATCACATCACAATTAGCAGCTTTCACCCAATTAATGCAGAAAAAACCACAAGAGTATCCAATACATTTATAGCTACATTAGAGGGCTCAAAGTTCTGAAGCTATTTCCATATTCATTGGAGAAATAGAGGATTTTTCATAATAATCCTTGCATTTGATATAGTGCCTTATCACATTAAAATGTGTTGCTATATAAAATGTAGCGAATATGTATTTATAGGCAAATGCAGCAAGCAATATCCCCAAAACATTAGGTGAAGGACTATTTGTTGCCCAGGACAACATCCTATCCTCGCTCTCTGGAACTCCACCTCAGAGGTCCCACACTTTGTCTTCTCCTTCTCTATCTTTAAAATCGAAATAGTGCTCATGGAATTGTTACCATGCACAAGCGGCTAGGGCTTTGGTTTAAGGTCTCAACTGAAGGACGACACTTTTACAATGCAGCACTACCCCAGCATTGGGAGTGTCAGCTTAAGTCATGAGCTCAAAGTCCCAGTGTTGGGCTTGAACCCACAATCTGCAAACTCAAAGGCAAGAGTATTACTAGCTAATCCAGGCTGACTATCTATTTTGCTGCTATTTGAAGTGCAATTCTAAAGATGAGAATGCATTAGGCACAGCAACGGAACAAATGTTTTAATGAGGAAAATTGCTTTTCATTAATGTTTAATGTTTTAATTTTCCTCTAATGTTTGAATGAAGAAAAGAGACACGTTGATACAGTTTTACATATATCACGGATCCTGAACAAACTGCTGAAAGAACATCATATTTAGTCACACTGACAGCAAGGCTGAAAAATTAATGTTCCATTTGTTGTGAAAATGTAATGGCTACAGATTGGCACAAATGTAAATTTGGAAAGGTTGGTCAGTAAACAAAGCAGTGGGTTACCACTTTAAACCGTGGTTCTACTACTGGATTATAAACAGCAATTTACATTTATATAGTGTGTTTCATGTTGAGAAGCTTCAAATACCTTCAAAAAATAAATACATTTTAAAATATAATAAATTGATTACTCAATCCATGACTGTTTGTGGGACATTGCTGTGCGCAATTGGCTGCCGCGTTCGCCCACAAATATACAGTCAATTCACCTTACATTCTATTCTGTGAAGCGCTTTGGGACGTCTAGAAGACATGAAAAGCGCTATATCAAATGCAAGGATTATTATTATTATTATTATCAAATAGAAGGATTATTATTATTATATAACTAACTGGGAGCCTGAGTTTGGGGGAGGAGTTTAGAAGCTGAGGGGAGTGGGGGTGTAAATTGAGGGGTAGAAAGATGGACAAAAGAGGAGTGGATCCAGTGGAGGGACTCTGCATGGATTTCCAGAGTGCAAGGACAGAATGAGTAAAGGCTCATCCACTGATGGTGAGGCTGAGTGGTTTGCACTTCATATCACAAATATCCATCTACAGGAGGAGGGGGAATTTCTGAAGTAGCTATAATCTAACCATTAGATCATAGGATACAACAGGTATCAGGACGTGAATCAGCAGGAGCTACATCAGCATGAAAGGAGGAAATTACAACAATTAGCAATCAGAAATTTATGCTAGCGTCGGTGCCATTTTCACCATACATAACAGATTTGGGATTGAAACCAAACTACAGTACCAAGGTTTGCTGATGATAAAACTGGGGAGGGGAAGTGCCAATTAACAGGAGCAGACTGACCAAACACAAAGGGATCTGGATAGATTAGTGAGTTGGGCTGAAAAGTGCCAAATGCAATTTAAGGTGAACAAGTGCAGAGTGATGAGATTAGGGACGGAGGATAAACAGTGGGAGTTTAAGGTAAACGGTATTAGTCTGCAAGGCATAGCGCAGGGGTGGAATTTTGGGACACTGATAGATCGATGGCTGAAATCATCAGCGCAGAGTTCAGTGGCAGAAAAGGCAGTGAACAGGATTTTGAGGTGTTCAGCTCAACTATAAGGAACTGAGCATAAGTCACAGAAGGGTAAAAATTGCAACATGAAATAATCATATTGTTAAAAATTGCAATCAAGCCAATCAATAACTAAAGACTGGCTACATCTTCAACACCCCCCTTCTCCCAACCACACACCCACTCGTCTTCATCCTCCCCCCCCCCCCACCCCAGACAACTTCAACACAATGACCTTAAGCACCAGTCACTGGAGTTGCTGCATGATTCTGCTACAGGTAGCCAAATCCCCTCCCCCAGCATTGTCCCAGGCACAATGCTTTTCTCATCAGCGATAACTAATATGACATGTGTCACCACGCAGGAAGCTGAGGGGAAAGAATTAGATGCAAGAGGTTTCATAGAATGTCGGGGTCAAAAGACATAAGAGGTCATCACTTGCCAAACAAAGGGTGTGAGTGGGAGGCTGTGTAGCAGACAGACATACTTAACGTAGCATGCAACACTGTGGGACATGAACCTCAATCAATTATAATGAAAAAGAGCAACCAAAATGTAATATGCATAGAGATTAATAACACCGGCACAGGAAATATCATGGTTATCAATATTTTATCCTTCATGTGTTGCAAACACAATTAATTCATGGAATTTATAAATAGAAATGATGTACATAGCATGATGGGGCCCATACGTTGCTACCTGTTTAACATTAACAAGAGCAGCTAATGAAAGAAATCTCAGATCTTTCTGAATGAGAATATGTGTGTGTGTGCGTGTGTGGCGAGGGAACCTCTGCACAAAATAATTCCGCTTATTCGTAGAGATAATTCTCGCCACTAGAAATAAAAATAAAACAGACACAAAGGACCACATAATGGGCTTTACTGTGAGCCACATTCTGAAATCTAACCCGATGACACAATGGAACAAACAATACTACATTGGGCAGCATTATAGAGCCAGCGTTCCTCTCCCTATTAGTGGAGATCTTGCTAATTCACTCATGGGTATAGGGGAGAGGAGAAAGGCAGAGTTAAGAGGGGGCAAACGTCAGAATATACCATCATTGGTGCAATGTCTATTACTGGCACTATTGAGATGAACCGATAGTGTTTTAGGTTTTCATCATGGGTTGGAATAATGTAATAAAATATTAAGTGCCACTCAGAAGCAATGTTTACTGTTCCTATGTGAAATGCTGATTTCCTTTTGGAAATAACTGCTGGACCCATTATCAAATGATGTGGTGCACAGCAACATGATCTCTCTTCTAATGAAGGCTTAGCTGCAACCAGAGATATATAAACTGATTGAATTCATAGTCTAAAGTTACAAATAAGCATGCAAACTGGTTTGCAAAAAGACCCCCCATCTAAATGATGTCTGTCTAGTGAGGACTTCAATAAGGGAATCTATGGAGTTTAAATGGATGGCATAAAGATGAGGAGGGAGAAATTCAACCTGGGTCTAGATTTATTCTGTTTAATTATTATGTAGTATTTAAGAACATCCAAAATGTGTTGAATTCACACTTAATATTGAAATTGATTTTAAAATAAAAAGAATAATCCTTACATTTGATTTACAAAAACACTTTTACATTTATATAATGCCTTTCACATCAGCTTTTCAAAAGCACTTCACAGAATTTACAGTAAATTCCAGTGGCTGTATTTTTTGGGCAAACATGGCAGCTAATTTTGCGTACAACAATGTCCCACAACAACCATGAAGTGGATGACCAATTTTATTTGGGGGATTGCAAGATACCGAGAGCAACTACCTTCTGGCGGTGAGTTAGCCATTTTCACCATCTACTGCAGAAACAAGTTCCTCCTAAACTCCCTTTTAGATCTGCTATTACCTATCTTGTATTTATGCTCCCTCACTTTGGTCTCAGCAACATTACATTTATGGTACATCTAAGATCCTTATGTTTTTACACCTGCCCTCACATCAAACCTTTTTCTTCTTGTGTATTCATATGGTGGCATTCTTGTCCATGGGTCAGAGATTATAAATTCAAGCCCTAGGTCAGATTTTGAGATGCTGGTCTAGGCTGACACTCCAGATCATTGCTGCCATTGTTAAACTGAGGTCCCGTCTGCCTGTTCAGACAAATGTGGAGTCCTGTAGCTCAGAGGTTAGAGCACTCGCTTTGCAAGTGAGAGACCTGAGTTCAATTCCAGGCAGGGCGAAACCTTGGGCAAGTTTCCTTACTCCACACGCCTAATAATAATCCCTCCAAAACCAAAAACAATAATAAATTGGTCATTTTCAATCTACGACTGTTTGTGGGACATTACTGTGCGCAATTGGCTGCCGCGTTCGCCCAAAAAAAAAATACAGTCAATTCACTTTACAGTATGTTCTGTGAAGCGCTTTGGGACGTCCTCCCGACGTGAAAAGCGCTATATCAAATGCAAGGATTATTATTATTATTATTATTAAATGCTAAAAATTCCATGAGAT